GGGGGGGGGGGGGGGTGCGCGGCCAGTCAGGTAAACACGCGTGCGCGAGCACGTGCTTAGGAGTCACATTATAACGCTATCAGCCGCCGAGGCGAGGCGTCGCGGAGCTGCCGCGTTATTTTCTAAACTATTTTGCGCTGATTTTTAATACCGCATTTTCACTTCGCCAATTAAGTCGATAATTAACACGAGTTGAGACGCGTACTTATCACGCGAGCAGGTGTTACGGGCTTTACCGCAATAGGTAATTACCGTGTTCCATTTACTTTATTACTTGTTAGATAGAGAAACGTTGCGATCAAGTTCCTTAATGCCGATCAAATATTATCATCATCCATTTATTATTCGAGTATTATTATTTCTTTATTCGGTTGTCATTTAACTATTTTTATTACGTATTGGGAAACAACTCAAGCGTGCCGCTACGACGATTTTCTTACCTCATATTACTGTTGTGTGTAATCAAAGTTATCAATTAAATTCGCCTTAATTTAATAACTGATTTAAATAAATAATTTCTAATTTAATTAATTGACGATTAATGTAAGTCTATTCAATTAAAAATCATTCAATTAACGATTGATTTGAAGGAATTCAATTAAAAATTGTTGAATTAACGACTAAAACGAGCGAAAGTAATTAAAGATTATTCGATTAACGATTGAACATAGTCAATGTAATTAAGGGTTATTTAATTGACAATTGATATAAGAAATATATTTATAAGTATATATTCAGTTGGTTGGTTACTATGAGCAATGTAAATAACTACGATTACAATTTCGATTAACATCGATTGATCAATCGTCTTACTTTTCGATTAAATTTGCTTATATCAATTGTCAATTAAATAACTCTTAATTACACTGACTATGTTTAATCGTTAATCGAATAATCTTTAATTACTCTCACTTGTTTTAATCGTTAATTTAACAGTTTTTAATTGAATTCCTTCAAATCAATCGTTAATTGAATGATTTTTAATTAGATTTTTTGTGAAGTCAGTGATTAATTATAATATGCATCGTAACAGCACGCTCGAGTTGCTTCCCAATACGCAATAACAATAATTAAATGACAACCAAATAAAGATAATGTAATAATACTTTAATAATAAACGGATAATGATAATATTTGATCGGCATTGATTTGATTGAACAATTCTGTGTATAATTAATTGATACTACTGGATATTATTATACGGTTGTCGATCAAACATTATTATCATCATCTATTAATTAATCGGGTATTATTATTTCTTTATTCGGCTATCGTTTAATTATTTTTCATTGCGCATTGGGAAGGAACTCGAACGTGCCGTTACGACAATTTCTTTTCCTCGTCTTGCTGTCGCACGTAACTAATTAATACTAATTTATTAAATTACTAATTGATACTAACTTAAATTAAATTTCTGTTACAGAGATCTAATAGAGAAGATGCAGTTACGCGGCTCTAGAGGATGCGATGCCTGGGTAATGCCGCGCCGGAGGATTCGGCTCGGGCCAAGCGGGGTTAGCTCGAAGGTTAGTTTATTTAATTAGCACTTGTCATTAGAAATCCAATAAGATTAATAATTCTCTTGCTCGAAATCGAGATAATTTGAGTCGAGTCAAAGATCGCGTTAAACGTAATTACACGCGGGGATAATTTTTCCTGAATAACATCACCACTTGAAAAATGTTGATTTGTTTTAATTAAGAAATTTTTGTGAAACATCAAGAAAAAGGAAAAAATGGAGAAAATAAATAGAAAATAGAATATTCTATGTGAATGCATTCCAAAAAACTCTCCCAGCGTGAAAAATATCGTGCGCTTATTTTTTTTTAAATATTCAAACTTAAATTTTAAATATTTCAAACTTCTTTACTCAAACCGACATCAATACATGAATCTAA